CCTCCCCTCCCCCTCTCCCTCCCCTTCCCTCCTTCCTTTGCAAATCAACTTCCTAGTCTGATTTCCCAGAAGGATGCTTTCCTAAGATAAAGTAGTTATATATTAGACTAATTTTTTAAAACGATACAGCCAATTACAGATCACTCAAATAAGGGTTGCAATGTGCTTAATTTCCATGAGTTCAAGGCCAGCTTGAACGACATAGTGAGTATATATATATTATATATATATATTGCCTTGGGGATGGGAATTGACTGGGATTATTAGGGGACTATGAAAGGTGACGGTAATAATCTGTACCTGCTTTTAAAAAAAACTTAAGAGGGACATAAAGGATGATCAGACTGACAGCACTCAATATTCTGACCAAGCATACTGTCTTCCTGGTGGGATACAGGAAGTACATATCATCACCTGCTGCCAAAAATTGAAACTGATGAAGCTTCAAGATCTAACTACCAGTTTATAAAACATATAAATGAGTAAGAAAGTGTTAAGATGTCATAGAGATAAAACTAACATATTCAAAATCCAGGAAGTTATATAGGACAAATCATCTGACTCTTAAAGTAAATTGTAGGAGGAAAAAAATACTTTGGAATAAAGGAAATTTAGTGTGGTGTGGTGCACACCTGTGATTCCAGCACTTGAGAGGCCAAGGCAAGAGGATCCTCCTAAATTCAAGGCCAGCCTAGGATACCTAATGCCAGTCTCAAAAAAAAAAAAAAGAAAAAAGAAAAAAAAAAAGCACCTAGAACCTCTTAAACAATTATAAACATTATAGCAAATAACCATACATGTAACACCACAAAAATCAGGCATGGTGGCACACACCTGTAACCCCAGTACCCTGGGAGGCTGAGGCAGGATTGCCCAGTTCAAGCACAGCCTGGGCAATTTAGTGATTTATACTGCAGAAAATAAAAAGGGCTGCAGGTATAGCTCACTGTGAAGGCCTTTGATCCACATTATCACCAGAGGGGAGGGGGAATCAGTAAGCCTTTATCATAAACTACTTGATAAGTAGCAGGACAGTGACAACTGTCTACTGTACTCCTTAGTACTTCATCATATGATAGCGCTATTTACACCGCAAACACGCTCATTAACAATAATCAATGATACTGAGCTGGGGATTTAGCTCAGTGGTGTAGCCGCCTGCCTTTCAAACTGAAGGCCCTGAGCTCAATCCCTGTACCCAAAAAACCCCCCAAAACCCTGAACTTATTCCATACTAAATAGAAAAGATGAAGTCTTATTTCTAGTAAAGTCTATAGTTGATATTTAAAACTTTTCTACAAAAAATCCAGGCCCAGGAAGATGCAGTTGTAAATTCAATTAAATATCTAGTAAATAAAAATCAATGATACTCCACTTGCTAATATTGACATTCAAAAATATCAAGATGCCAAGTGGCAATGACAGAATTGAAATGTTTTAACATTATGCATATAAATTTGGAATAGCCAAAAGAATCACTAAATTAATGGAAATTATGCCAAACAGTGGCACCAAAAACCCTGGATTAATGGAGACCTAGGTTCAAGTTCCTATACTGCCACTTACAGCCACCCTTGGGTCTGCTTACTTATTTGAAGGGCTCATGTCTGTTCTCACCTACTTCATGTAACCTCTGTAGACATCTGACGTCACCTGTACAGACATAACTTATTTAAACTTTAAAATATGGCTGGCAATGGGAATGCTGCAGTTTTTTTTGCCTATTTCAATTTTGTTTTCCAATTTTTCTCTTAATCTTTTTAGAACCCTACTATGACAAACATGTCCAGTTTTTGGTTGTCAAAACCTGTCACTGAGCAGGGTGCTCTGCACAGAACCCTTTATTGGAGATGTCTCTAGTTCCATTTCTCTCCCAGTGTTTAATGACAGGGATGTTTTCCCTTCTGGGGAAAACATTCCATCACCCTCAAGGTTCACAGGTAAGTCCTCCCACCACAGAATCAAGCAACACAGATAGCTTACTTTTTACTTTATTTTTGCACATAAGGAAAACAACCAATTGATTAACTCAGTTCCAGAACTCTTAGTGTTCAGTGATCAAGAAGGAAATGAGGTTAGAAGGCAAACTCATTTCTTCCCAAACATATTACTGCAAATATTACAGAAACTCAAATCAGCAATTACAACAAGACTGTTTGACACAGAGAGCCCAAGCAAAAGGGTGAGGAGTACTGAAGGGCCACAGGGATCAGGGTTGGGGGCAGTGCTACCACAGCTTCACTCTACCCAAGCAGCTCACATCCCAGGTTCATCACATCCTTCCATGTCAAGATGACTAAAACATGCAGAAATCCTAGCTGGAGGTCTGTAATCCCAGCACTCAGGAGGCTGAAGCAGGATTGCCCTGAGTTCAAGGCCAGCCTGGGCTACATAGTGAGACTCTGTCTCAACAACAAAAAAGGGTAGCAATCCTGGCAGCTCCCTGTTTGCTCAGCCATGTTTCACATGGCATTTCCATAAGCCATGCCCTGGTTCAAATTCTGTACAGGAAGTTCCCATTACTGTCAAAGAACTCCCGCCCCCTCTGCACTACTTTGCTGCTGAAGTTCTGGTCACCTAGCTCATCTGCCTTGCACTCTTCTAGCTTCTTGTCACTTAGAAAGCCATTGCTGTCAGTGCTTCTGGTGCCCGCACAGTCACTGGTGGAGGACTTCGGCTTTCTCTGACGATCCAAGGCTATAGTGTCGGGCACAAAGCTCCTTTTCCCCAGGCTCTGGCTTCCTTTGTTCCTTCCCTCCTGTTTCTGTTGGGCATCTGTACTCTGAGTGCTGGCCTCTAGTACTGTCAGAGCTGTGCTGTGGCTCTGACCTCTGGATGAGGCTTTCAGTAAAGAGCCCATTACAACATGGCCTGCAGCGAGGGACTTTCTGCTATCTTCAGAGCTCTGCAGCTGTTGCATCGAGTGAGCAAGCCCAGCCCTTTTCAGGACTTTTTCATCCTGCTTCAGTTTCTGCTTCACGGTGGGTACAAATTTACTTTTTAAAACTCTCCGAATAACATCAGTGCTGACATCAAAGCCTTCAGCCAACCTGGCAACTGACCAGGAATCTGCAAATTCCTTGTGTAAATACCTATGGAAAAAAAGAGCAGGTTTAATGTGAGAGTCTCCTACCAGAATAGCTAACTGATAATACTAGTGATAAATAAGTAAAAAGGGTTGGAAAAACTGCAGACACACTCCTTAACTGTACCAGTTAACATGTTCTAGCCAGCTTGCAATACCAGTGGTGACTGCCTGACTGTCCCCTTGGCAGCTTGTACCACTGGGGGTGCAAACAGATTTAATCACTTTTATTCGCCTTTTTACTAATAAAATTAATACAAAGCACTGAATGGGATAGTTGTGAATGTGGTTCAAGTCACCCAGCAGGAAGACATATAAATTATGGCCCCCTCATGAATATGTTCAATGGCTATTCTATTCCTGTGTCAAAAGACCTGGCCATTCTCAGGCCAGAGATTTAGCTCAGTGGTGCTGCACCTGCTTTACAAGTGTAAGGTCCTGAGTTGGATCCCCGGTACAACAACAACAACAACAACAAGAGACCTGACCACTTTCAAGTCCCTTCACTTCACATCCAGTGAATGCTTCCTGCTGACTCTAACAGCTACCTTACATCCCAGGGATAAAAGCATGGATCTCTGCTTCCACGGTGGATAGATGTATCACACAGTGATGCTATGGTTAGTGTTACAGGATCCAGTGAAAGGACCTGGGAGGGAAGCCCATGGAAAAGCAGTCACAACATACTGCTTCAGAAAGTCATCCAAGTGAGAGCTGATCTTAAAGGATAAAAGTGAGCAATAAGCTAAGGGGAGAAAAGTGGAGAGATGGAAGATACTGACAGAGTAAGCACATGTGAAATAGAAAGAAGTGTATCACCTTGCTGAGAATACTTCACAGTGACAGTGTGGACGGGAGCAAGGTTGTACATGCTTAGCAGTCTGGAATTTATCCAGCAACAATGAACCAAGGAGCAATTTTAGAGAGTGCAGTTTTCACCGTGAAGCTCCACCCACTGGAAATTTTTCAGTGGTAAAGGTATAGGTATAGGTATAGGGGTGTAATTCAGTGGCAGAACACCTGTACAGCAGCCGTCAGGGCCCTGGGTTAGAGCACCAGCACCACCAAAAACTGAATGAAAAAAAGTCAGATGGAAAAACTAGCATAAGGCTGTTAGAAGAATTACATTGTTCTGGAACAATGATGAATTCTACTTTGTATATGTTGAGTTTGAGAAACTTGTGTGAACATAAGATTAAGAAGATAATTTTATTTACGAGTAAAACACTGTGTTGTGTATTGTTTTGTTTGAGACAGGGTCTCACTATGCAGTCCAGGCTGACTTTGAACTCAGGGTGATCCTCTTGCCTCAGCCTCCCAAGCACTGGGATTAGAGGTCTGTCACCACGCTTGGCTCACACAAACGTTAAGAAGGCTAGAGACTGCATAGTGTCAATGTAATGAAGATATCACTAATGGAAGTATGGAATTTTATTATATTAAGTATATACACCAAACAAATGAAAAATAAAGATAGTCAGCCAGGAAGCCTTGAAGCCAGCTGGAAATCAAAGAAGGAAGGACTCTGAGCAGCTCAGGCAAAAGGATTACAAGTTTGCTAGCCTGGGCAACTTAAGAGACTTAATGAAACCTTGTCAAATAAAAAAGGGCAGGGGGTGTAGTTCACTGCAAAGGTCTTTGGATCAATTCCCACTACATTAAAAACAAAAAACAAAAGGACAGAGGGCTTTAAGATGACAGGTTGACATCCCTGAGTAAATTCATAAGGATATGACCTAAAGTACACCAAGGACTGGTCCTAGACAAGTGACAGACTATCACTTCTAAAATGGAAGGAGAAGGGCTTGGGATTTAGCTCAGTGGTGCTGCCACTTGCCTTGCAAGTGCAAGACCTGGAGTTCGATTCCTGGTACCAATAAATAAATTAATTAAATAAAATAAATGGGAGGAGAACTTGGCCTGGTGGCATATGCCTGTAATCCCAGCATTTGGGAAGCTAAGGAATGAGGATTGCAGGAAGTTGGAGGCCAGCCTGGGCTACATAGCAAGACTCTATCTAAAAAAAAAAAAAA